TGCATATTCTTTAAACTGAATGAAAACGAAAAAAAAAAAAAGGCTGAATAGAAGGAGTTATATAGTTTTACCATATGCATTAGCACTTAAACTTTCATAAAATGCCAAATCAAGAGTTTGAGGACTATAAAAAAAGAAACAAAGGTAATTAGTTTGTTAAGATGCTTTTTGAATGAAAAAATCAACCGGTCTTCTTCTTTCCATTTTATGTAAAACTGCACCGTAAGAAATGGCTACGACCGGGCAAAAAAGTAAGACTAATGAATTGGCTTTGCAAAAAATCATGTTTTAGCCTGCAGTTATGCTGGTCCATTCAAGTCGTAAAATAAGCACTTTTTTTTCTTTTTGAGCTGTCACTCCACTATGACCGATATGAACTGTCGAACTAGGTATAGCAAAACAAAGTCTCAGCCTTGTTAAAAAAATTAAAACTTCATGCGACAATTAAGTTTTTACCACTGTACATGTTATTCGAATATATTTTTTTCATGTTCCTTTTTTAGAAATGAGCGATTTGTCCTAAGGAATCTTGTCCATTGCAAACAATAAAATGCGTTAATTAGATATAAGAAGATGTGGTATGAGTGCCAATGAGACAACTCTCCATCCAAGTCAAAATTTATAAAAGTAAACCATTATAGGTCAAAGTACGGTCTTCAACACGGAGCCTTGGCTCACATCGAACAGTAAGATATAAAGGGCCCCAAAAATTACTAGTGTAAAACCATTCAAACGGGAAAACCAACGGTCTAATCTATATAAAAAACGAGAAACGAGAAACATTTATGAACCACATCAAACATTTCTCAAAATAGGTTTTACCGAACGTATTAAGGCGAAGTGTACGTAATTAACTACTCCACAGATTTTTTTTTAATTTTACATGTGGATTCTGCTTGTAAAAATACATCAGACAATAAAATAAAAAAAGGGGGTAACCGTTTTCGTTTTTCAGATACAAGCTGTTGAAATTAACAGCATGATACGCCAAAAATACAAAGGATATATAGGGAAAATCATAAAAATCGGCAGATATTTTTACTTTATCCAGATGTTCTAATTCGTTGGTCCACAGAATTTTTTAAAAAATCGATATGCCATTCAAAAATGAACGACGAACCCATTGGTGCAAAGAAAGTCCTTAGCAACCGTGCTAGTTTTCAAGCTATATCCTGTGGAAGTTTGACTTTTAGCGGAAAGAATAAAAAACATTCGGCGACGTTATTGATGTCTACTGTAACGTCATCACAATTTCTACTCTATATAACGCTATTATACCGTACAGTGTCGTAACAAAATCCTGAGTGTGTATAAAATTGAGAATGGAACTGGGGAATATGTCAAAGAGACAACAACCCGACCACATAGCAGACAACAGCCGAAGGCCACCAATGGGTTATTAAACGCAGCGAGAAAATCCCGCACCCGGAGGTGGTCCTCAGCTGGCCCCTAAATAAAATTGTGTACTAGTTCAGTGAAAATGGACGTCACACTAAACTCCAAAACATAAAAATGAACTAAAATTAAAAAAAACATACAAGACTAACAAAGGCCAGAGGCTCCTGACTTGGGACAGGCGCAAAAATGCGGCGGGGTTAAACATGTTTTGTGAGATCTCAACCCTCCACCTATACCTCTAGCCAATGTAAAATAAAGAAACACATAGTAATACGCACAGTAAAACTCAGTTTAAAAGAAGTCCGAGTCCGATGTCAGAATAGGTAACAAAAGAAACTAAACAAAAAGACAATGATACATAAATTAACAAAGGACTACTAGCAGTTACTGACATGCCAGCTCCAGACCTCAATTAAACTGATTGAAAGATTATGTCTTCATCATATGAAAATCAAGTACAATCCCTCCCGTTAGGGGTTTAGTATCATACAATCATAAAATATATGAGAAGAACATAACCCGTATCATGCCAACAACTGGTTTTAGAATAATAGTGTTTATTTCCGATGCAAAGACCCTATGAGTGAATCAATTATAATACCAAAATATGTAATCCTTAATGACCTGACAACAGTATCGTAACTATATCCTTTCCGAATAAGTCTGTTTAAAGGTTTGGTTAGCTTTTGGGGTGAATGCCGACATTTTTGTGCTTTGTAAAGAATATTACCATAAAATATTGGATGTGAAATACCTGAACGTATAAGATGTCTACATGTTGATTTATATTTACGAATGATTTATAACCCATTTTCCTAATTATTGCAAATGCTCAAGCGTAATCAATTGATAAGGAAATAAACTGAGTATTTTTTAAGGATATTTCTGCTGCCAAAAAAAAAGCAAATTGGCAAATAAATATACTGCAAGTGAAAGAAAGTTACTGTATAGTCTTTAACTCCATCTTTTCTTAATTGGACAGGGTTCCACATCTTTTTTGAAATGCTTGTATTTATAGCTGACTATGGGCTTTGATCATTGTTGAAGGCCGTACGGTGACCTATAGTTGTTAATTTCTGTGTCATTTGCGGACTCTTGTGGAGAGTTGTCTCATTGGCAATCATACCACATCTTCTTATTTTTATATTGTATTGTTCTAATAATTATGAATCAAATATCAAGTTTGAAATTGTCCCGGTTAACACAGCGTTGACAGAATGATTCTATGCGTATTTAAATAATCGGTTATAATATTGGGATCGCGTATACACGTCTTTTTTAAAATCTTATTTCTGCATGTTTGTATTTTAAAAAAGTGAATATAATTTGCTGCAGCTATTCATCCTCACCATTTCCGGCACTATTCGAGGTCTTGCGCACAAAACCCATTTTATTTGTCAGGTTCACACACGTGCACGTGACACAACTCTGCAATTTTATTTTAAAAATTTCCTGTCTCGATCGCTTTCACTTTCTTTAACTACACGACAAAGCATGATATAATGTTTGCTGGAGATTTTAAGTAAAAAACGAAATAATTTCTTGTACCATTATTTGTTGAATATCCACATGCACGACTCCCAAAAAATAAGAAAACTGCATCTGCATATTATCTTGAGAATTTTTATGGCTGTAATAAGGTCAAAAGAAGAACCCGCATATGAATTTTAGCAAAGAAAAACAGATCGGATTTTTTTATATAACTTGTTCCTGTATATAATGCAAATGAATTGCAGTTTTGTTAATATAATATGAAAATAAGGAGATGTGGTATGATTGCAAATGAGACAACTATCTGCCACAGTTTAAGGTAGATCGGGTGTCTTTTTCTGAGCGTCCGTTCTGATCATGTTGCAAAAATACTTTTTTGTTTTAAAAATATTTTACCAAGTATCATTTAATATGCAACAAAATACCTAAAACTTGAAATTTAAAGATTAGACTATCAAAAAATTAAGTGTCGTAAAGTATATTTAAAATTTTTGGGAAATAAGGCCCGTGACCCCCTATTTTTATTTGATATTTCGGAGTTATTAATGAAAAGCAATTCTCTCATCGAATTTTAGCCAATTCTATCGTTTAATGTTTTCGCAATAAGGAAAACTTCAGTTTCCCCTATATCAACAATATCAAATAACCCAAATTTCGTTAATTTCAATGCGTTATTACGAAAAAACAAGGTCCGTGATTCCCAGTTTTTATATTGAAATTTGAAATTACATTGACCCAGAAGTCTTTTACAGAAGTTTAAGAAAAATTTATCGTCCAACATTTAGACACCCAAGCTACCTTAAATGATGTGGATGTAAGCAATTATTATAGGCAACCATACGGCCTTCAACAATGAGAAAAATCCATACCGTATAGTCGGTTATAAAAAGACCCGACATTGTAGACCTTATTTTCTTCACCCCTCCCCCTTCTTCCCCTACCTTATACTACTGCTGAATGATACACAAAAGCACAACAAAAGAAAACAAATTTCGCTATCCCTTCGAAATTGGAATTTGCAAAGATAAAGATAAAGAAAAAATAACACGTTCTATTTTTATCATACATGTGTAGTTTCAGTTTCAACTTTGGTTCTAAATTTAGATTTTACTTTCCCCAAAAATTGCGGACGGAATAGAAGACACCTGTTTATTTTCTGCACCTTGAAAACTGAGATTTGGATGACATAGATTTTACTCTGAGATAAATGTAATAGTGCTCAATTCTTAGTTTCTGAGTGTGTAATGTTTTGTGGACGGAATCTGATGGGTTTTTTTTTTTGCTGTTGGCTTTTTCTTCGGCTTATAAATGTTGTACTAGTGGTCGATTACCCCTTAGTATCTTTTATACTTTTTACATAAATAATAAAATATAAAACATCATAAAATTTTCAATTGCATAAAAACGGACATGCCAACGTCTTTCTTGTTCAACACACAAATTCACATGCAATTATTCGTTACCTACAATTTTACGCTACAGTACACTGTGAATTTCATTCAAAACTATGGTTTTTCAAAAAATATTGTGGGGTCAATTCTGGTTTGATTTTAATGAATTTGATACGAATAGAAGCAGAATTGTCACTGGTATATTTGTTTATTTGGTTATAATTTTGTTGTTTAGGCGTTTTTACCTTCTGTTGAAATAAACACGAGTGTACCTGCTCCTGCGTGTCTAAAACAAAAACAGTGGTAATAGAGTCAGACTAACTCACAATAGGATACTCAGATTTCTGATTGGAGTCATTATAATAATTTCTTTGAAGTTTTGAGATAGCACATGAATACTTGTTTGGATTCATGATATACCGCACGAAGTCATTTTTCTTTCATGTGCCCATTTTTATTTCATGGAGTAGGGGAGATAACCCGCGTAACTAACGACGCACGTTTTTTATCCTAAATTCCGCTAGAGGCGTGCAATTACGTACACTTCGCCTTAAATGAAATCGTACCTCATGCCTGTCGTTAAAACGGGGTAATTAACACAATTTAAACTACTTTAATAAACGAAATTAAATGGAAAGGCAATTATCAAACTTATCAAACACAAACAGGTATATAAATATTGACCCAATACCTAAATACATTTATTAACGTTGACCTTGACACGTACAATTATATGATAAGTTTATTGACAATGGAGCTATCTCATATTGTGGTAAAAGTGTTTATTTACTTATTACTTCCTGTAAACGTTTCTGTTTTTTTTTATCACAAGAACAAAAATATAAGTATTTTTTTTCATGACTTACTTAATCAAAATCTGAATATTCAATTGCTGTGTCATGTTAATAATTAATAATGCTTCCATAAAATTATTCTTCCTGGTTGTATAAGATTTCAACATTGGCCCTCCATGATGAATATAATTTATTTTACCTGTATGTTTCAGTTGCATGTAGTACACAAACAAGTGATCAATATTACCCCTCCAACTTGTTTTACAACAATAATGGACTGAAGTTAATACATGGAAGATGTCGACAAGCTGCAAAATATTACGCAATTAGAATTCCGTTCAAAAACACCTTTCAATATTTGCACAGTCAACCGAAAAAAAGACAAAACCAACGATAGATATAAAAATATGCCAATGAGACTACTATCCACCAAAGTTCAAATGAAGATAGAGTTTGCTTTTGTTTTTACAGAATACCAAGAATGAAGAATCGGTTATCAAAACACAATGCGTTTGACCATTTCCATTCTATTGTTTTTGACAGAACTGACATTTGGAAAAGGTAAAATTAAAAACAGTTTACAATATAAGGAAAACGATATAATTGATTCATTAGTTAAGTTATAATAATCTTAAGGTATAATATGATCTGTTAGAGTAAATACAATCTAAATCTGTTTCCTCTTGCAATTATGGAAGCGCATATGGTACACCCCTTGTAAAGTTATTTTGTTGCAAATAAGTCGGAATTATTAGTTATGTTGTGTGTTATAAGCTGGAATCAAATCATCATGTGGAGTCAACTTGTCGGAATGATGAAGAAAAAATTGTATTGCAATGTCGACTTGCTAATTTAAATGTAATGACATAGTAATACGAAGTCGACATGTTGAATTCAACTTGTTAATTGATTAAGTCGACAACTTGTTTATTTGATGATGAGGTAAAACCACGTGACCATTTTGGAAAAACATTATTCTATTTTTAAATCGATTTCCATATGTCGTTTGTTTAATGTGCCTCGGATGAGTGTCGCAATCCATTGAGTTCAAGTTAAAATTTAAGGTCGAGTTGTTGCTCAGAGTTATTTGGTATGAAAATTAAGGGGAAACGGCAGTCAAATATCAGAAAAAAGGTACTAAAAAATAACAATATTTCGGACATAAGGGGGATATCCCCACACCACTTGGTCCGGCGTTTATTTTCCTTAGTTCTCAAACGGAAGAAGTATTATAATAAATTCGCAAAGGTTTTGCATGACATTGCTGCTGTCAGTGTAAAATTGTAATGTTGACTGTAAAAAGTTAATTTATTTTTCAGTAACATACAAACTTTAAATAATTCATGAAAATTTACAAATTTATCAGGACAAAACAGTTTTATTAACTGCAAAAAACTGAAAGCTTATATAAAAAGAAGATGTGGTATGATGGCCAATAAAACATTTCTCCATCACATACCAAATCACGGAGATCTATTTGTCACTGGTATGGTCTTCAACAATGAGCAAAATCCTTACCGCATAGTAAGCTATGAAAGATCCCGAAATGACAAATGTAAAAAAAAAACTAGAAACAGAACGATCTAAATGACGAAGACGCCGACACCATTATCGACGACGGAATACAGCCTAGGTTTGCCGTGTCTCACTTCCGCGACATTAATGTCGCAGGTACTACACAAATCAAATGACTTGTACTTTGTTGTCAAAAAATGAAACACTTTTAATCAACTCACACTCAATTTAAAGGGAAACAACGGATAATATATGTTCCAATTGTCGTAACCACAAATCCGTCCTCTTTTCCTCGAGGATGACATACCGCATTAGACCAAATAACTGGGTTTGTAATTTCACGAATAACACGACAGGTGACTCACGTTGAGCAGGATCAGCTTACTCTTCAGGAGCATTGATATCTACGCCGGATTTTAATGAATCTATATTGGCCAGTAATATCGATCTATTGAGTTAGCCAGCTGCAACTGATTTTTATAGCTTTTGTTGTGCTGTTACACGGCGTAAATCTCCATGAATTGTTATAAATCTTGTATAGGAGTTATTCTTTCAGATCAAGATAATCGGCTCAAGTAGGATATACGGTACTTTAGTTCCGGCTTTTATGATAAATTTATACGCGTATGTATTCATGGGCAATAAATGTATTCAAATTATACAATGAAAAAATAAATGACTGGTAGACAGGTTGACAATGTGTTAAAAATGCATTTATTTTTGTGGTTGACTGGTTGACAGGTTGACAAGTCGACAAGTTGTCAATGTTAAAAATGTAAATACTTTTATGGTTGACTGGTCGACAGGTCGACAGGTTGACAGGTTGACAAGTTGACAAGTTGAAAATTTAATATAGTGAAAATTGAAGTTATGGTTGACAAGTCGACAGATTGACAATTTGAAAGAATTTATCTAGTGTAAGATAGTATTATTGGTGACTGGTAGACAGGTCGACAAGTCGACAATATGACGGGGAGAAACGAAAACTTTAATAGTGGTTAACAGGTTGACAGTCAACAGGTTGACAGGTCGACAGTCGACAGGTAGACAGTTATAAGTCAAGACTTGATAAAAAGGTTAAAAAACTGGACTGTAAAATTAAACCTATCAACTTGTTAACTATTTCACTTGTCAACCTGTCGACCTAAACACTTGTCAACCTGTCAACCTGTCGACCTTTCAAGATGTCGACCTGCCAACCTGTCGACCTTAACACTTGTCAACCTTTCGAATTTCACACTTGTCGACCTTTCTAGTGTCAACCTGTCGACCTTTTAGTACATATAAACTGATTTACTTCATAAGTTAAACCGAATTACTTCTCTGTTCTTCCGATGGAACTACAGTACCATTCATCCTACTTGACCCAAAGCATCTACAGAAAAAAAATTTTGTATTATACAGAAAAATGAACTGTTTACAGTAAACATTACAAGTAATAGCTTTTCGAAAAAAGCTAGCCGTCTCTTAGCTGATGAAAGTGGAAAGTGTTCTCGCTTTGTAGATTAATTCATTCAGAAAAGCCTTGCATGTCAATCAACAAATTTTACCACACACGTTATGAAGCAGTATATCGTTTAATGTTATGTATCAAATAAGGTCCAACGGAATAATCCTTCAAATCATGGTTGTAAATGCTTTACATAGTTGTCAAACAATTTATTCTCTCGTCATTAAATATTATAACCATGCTCAAGTTATCTTATGTTTTTCGTGTATAAAATGTGCCGGTAACAGTGAGGGACTGGATTGAATGTGAAACAATCATGTGTGTGTTGATGATGATGGAAGTGTTTAACGACCTTGACTGGCCTTTGTGTGTGTTTACAGGAGATTAGGCTATTTATAGATAAAAGTTACCTGTGTACCGATATGCATGATTGGTGACCAGGCAAAATCTAATTGCTAAAATAGAGAGTACAAATCCGATACTCTACGGGATTGACAGACATTTACTAAGTTTAGATTGTCCCAACCAATCAACGAACTTTTTATTATTAACGTCTCAGTATATCTTCCAATCAGGTAGTTAGAAGCATTCAGCCCGCACACTGTCCATCGTTCAATTCTTAATAACGTCTCCGAGGAGACGTTAACAATTTTACACTGACAGCAGCAATCGCATGCGAGACAGAGGGTGCCGTGGAATCCTTCGCGAATTTATTATTTTACTTCTTCTGTTTGAGAACTATGGAAAATAAACGCCGGACCAAGTGGTGTGGGGATATCACCCTTATGTCCGACATATTGTTATTTTTTAGTACTTTTTTCTGATATTTGACTGCCGTTCCCCATTTTCATACCAAATAACTCTGAGCAACAACTCGACCTTTAATTTGAACTTGAACTTATAGCGACACTCATCCGAAGCACATTAAACAAACGACATATGGAAATCGATTTAAAAATAGAATAATGTTTTCCAAAATGGTCACGTGGTTCTACCTCATCATCAAATATAATCAATTTACAAACTGAATTCAACATGTCGACTTCGTATTTCTATGTCATTACATTTATATTAGCAAGTCGACATTGTAATGCAATTTTTTCTTCATCATTCTGACAAGTTGATTCCACATGATGATTTGATTTCAGCTTATAACACACAACTTAACTAATAATTCCGACTTATTTGCAACAAAATAACTTTACAAGGGGTGTACCATATGCGCTTCCATATACAATAGTATTTAAACAATATACTTTTTTACCCTTTATACAAATATTCCCCATTCCAAACTAAAAGACAAATTGAAAGAATTGGTCCTGCTTTGTTTCATAAAAAAAGGCCAACGTAGATACAAGTATCACTTGTCTTAGGGAGGGATAAATCGTACATTGATTCAAACAAAAAAATTCTCTGAAACGGACATTATCAGGATGCTTGATTGCCAACACATTTGTAACCTTTGGAGGACGTGTTTTTCTACATACAATCGACATTCCCATGTGAACCAACTTAGCTCCTCTCCTTGCTGACTTATCCCTTTATTCATATAAGGCTGACTTTATACAGGAGCTTCTTAGTAAGAATGAAAAGAAGCTAGCATTGTCCTTTAACTTCACGTTCCGCTATATAGATGATTTCCTCTCACTAAATAATTCAAAGTTTGATGACTATGTTTAACGCATCTATCCCATCGAACTTGAAATAAAGGATACAGCAGATACAGTTAAGTCTGCCTCATATCTTGACTTCCATCTACAAATTGACAATGAGAGTCGGTTTAAAACAAAACTTTACGACAAAAGAGATGATTTCAGCTTCCCAGCTGTGAACGTTCCATTTCTATGTAGCAACATTACAGCAGCGCCTGCATATGAAGTATACATCTCCCAGTTGATACGATATTCCAGAGCTACCATCATCTATCACGATTTCCTTAATAGAGGGTTGTTTCTTACAAGAAAGTTATTAAACCAAGAGTTCCAAGTGGTGACCGTCATCGTTTCCTTGAATGTGACCTATCGAATTAGACTTATCACCGGATGTGTACTTACATGAGCAACACGACGGGTGTCACATGTGGAGCAGGATATGGGTACCCTTCTGGATCACCTGAGATTGGCCCAAGGTTTTGCTTTGGTTTGTGTTGCTCAGTCTTTAGTTTTCTATGTTGTGTTTTGTGGGCTTTTGTTATTCTTTTCGTCGTTTTTCTATTTGTGCCATGGCATTGTCAGTTTGTTTTCGACATATGAATTTAAATGTCCCTTTGATATCTTTCGACTCGGATAGTTTTGACACGTTAACGTAATTCAGCTATCTACGAAACCGAATATGAAAAGAGGAGATAAGTGTGTTTGAAATAGTAAAATATGTATAATACAAAATATATGTATAATTCACAATAATTCATCAAAAATGGCACTAAAGAAAATCAGTTAGGACCTTCTTCATATACAAACGCCGTGAAAAAGTTCGACCTAACAATAAAGCACAAACAGGCTTTCTGAAACGTCAATTGTGAAATGGTGAAAAATTGAATGTATCAAAGTATCTTGATTAATGTTTTTTTTTTCAGTTATTCTGTTAACTAATGTTTTCCCTACAAAATCAACTGAATAACTAAAATAAATGTAAACATATAATGCAGAGTTTAATTACTTGACATTCGTATATTTCAAGCGGCAGTGGCATATTACATATATATAAATTAATACATGACTACATGGCAATAGACCAATAGTAAACATTTGTAAAAAAAAAAAAGGATAATCGAAATATTGAGTTAATGCTATCAAAATAATGATTTTAACAGGCAGAACAATCAAAAATAATGTTAACATAATATTTAACAGGAAAAATATCATGGAAACTTTTGACCGAACATGTAATTTTTGGACGTGATGTTCAACTACAGTGTGACTTGCCAAAACAAACGTGCTGTCCAACTAGGACATGGAGAGGTGGTCATGATTATAAAACTTTGACTCTTAATGAATGGTCATCAAATTATACAAAATATGAAGAGCATTTGATAAACGAAAATGGAACATCAATATTGAATATTAAGTCATTTTCCGAGGACGATGTGGACATTATTTACCAATGTAGTTATGGATTCTCCAGATATGAAGCCGTTTTGGAGCTGACAAAGCAGAGATATGAGTGTAAGCTATTTTTGTGTAATTGCATACTGATATATTCATAATAACATTTTGTGTGATATAATACCCGGATAATATCATAAATATATGATAAAGTAAATACACTCATTTCAAAAGGCAAAATTTACATTTCTTGGCAGATAGGTGAAACTCTTTTTGCAAAGCCCCGTCGAGATTTCATTGGGAAATCCGAATTAAAATGTTGAAATTTCAAAACGAATAACCAAACCACAAATAAAAAAAACACCTGAAAATATCCTTGCTTTAAACTATTAAGAAGTTATAAGAATGAAAAAAGTTCGTTCAGCATCTTCAAAAGAAAGGGGTTCCTTATTAGTTGTATGAAAAAAGTATAACACAAAAAAAAACGAATTCTAGGGTAATTTCAAAAATCAGTCGCTAGACTTTATCAACCAACGGAACGAATGGAAACATTTAATTAAAAAATAATTCAAACAAACATACAAATAAATCTAACAAAGACTTGAATAGAAAGTTGTGTTAGATGTCAAATGGTGTAAATTGAAGCATTAACAAACCATCAAATGACATTATTTCATTATGTTTTCCTCTGATTATCTGTAATATTTTCTATCTATATCAATAAAAGGTTGTCACTCTCTAACGAAAGGTTGACCATAAATTATTTTGGCTATTCTGATATTTTTTCAATGCTCCAAACTGTTTCATAGCTATATTATTTCTTCCAATACCTGATCTCAAGTGTAACTGATAACAATAATTCATATCGTTACAATACACTTATATTGACTGGACCATTATATAGTTATGACATACGGACGAATTAATAACTTGAATTTTATTTATTCAGATCACCCGGTCAAATTGGTTCCCGCTACTTTGAGTTTTAACAGGTCACATATATATACAACAATAACATTAGAAAAGGTTTTCCCAAAACCTCTGTGTAGTGCCAACGCTGATGTAAGTAAAATTTTGATTTGAATAAAAGGAAATTGTGTTTTTTTCGCCCAATCCTTCCGTGTTTATTGCTTTTGTGTTAACATACATGTCATAATTCCTTTCTATTATATTACACGATACCAAACGAAAACTTTCACCATACTTTTTAGCTGCATTAAACAATGCATATTCAATAAACTTGAGTTTAATAAAAAAAAAAATGATATTCCACATGGACAAAATAAAGTTTATTACATTTAATAAAAGCACATGGGAACTATCTAAAAAGCGGTGTTTTTCACAGGAAAAGGAAATTACAAATGAAGCTCTGAAAGTAAACTCAAAACATGACGGAATCTTTTATAAATCAATGGTTGACTTCAAGTATATGGTCGATTCTCAACATTGTGTTGGTTTGGTAACTATTACTTGTACCATTGGAACTGTACGCATAACTATTGCTAAAAAGAAGTTCTCGTGTCAAAATAGTAAGTCATTATTAAAGAGATAAATGGATCTTTTTTGTATTATGATATGATATGTGTTGGTAAATCGTACTATTCTTTTAAATCATACGAGAAAAAAACTGAGGGAATTATACAATAATTTTCAAGATATTCCATGATATTGGTATTAATAAAGAAATTTTATTGTGTCGAAAAGAGAGGCGGAAGATACCACTCAATTTCGTAAGTTCATGACGTGAACATTTAGAATGAGGAAATATTTGGTTCGCGTTGCTGTTTTTTTATTGTTGATTTCCTAAAAGACTATATGCAGGATAACGACTTAATGTCCAACATTAATAATTATGACAGCAAAAAGTAAAGAAAATCCCAAATAGTTATAACAGAAATTAGTACTCAAAGACAATTCAGTGATGCATATCTTCTTATGACGTTACACATCTACTTGTAATCGTATTTGATAAATAAAGGAACACAGGGGATTGCATACTATGAAGAGATTAATAATAAAATTGAGAATGAGAGTTGATTTTTTTATTGTTGTTTGTTTTTTTTATAATTTTATATTATAGGTTATTCAAACCAAAGCAGTCACCTTGCTCGGACAGGTTTCATCGCATCAAGCTCATATGACGAAGAACCAACTGTTGTTCAAATACTTTTAATAATTGCATTTTTCCATTCCATCAAGTAAATACATTCTATATCTTTTAATGCATAAAAACATTAAATTAATGATATCAAATGTCCTTGTAATGGTTTGTTATATAACATGTTGAGTAGAAAGGTTAATTATTCCAAAATATCCTTCTTATATTATTGTAAATATTTAATTATAAAGTATTTAAAATATCAAGAAAACCACATAGATTTTCTGAAAATATCATTATTGTCTATTTATAGACAATAATAACATGATATTTATATGAAAATGACCTATGTAAATAAATTGTTCAATTTGTAAAGGTCACTAACATACACCGTCATATAACGGAAATCGTTTATTGCAGTATATCGAAGGAAGCCAAATGATCGTTACATAGTTTAATTTAAACATATTCTAATTGCAAGAATAACAAAAATGATTTAAGATAAGTTAAAAAAAACTATATAAAGTACAGACGTATGAATCTCAAGTCAAACGATGTAGTTTATCAAAGTTTATTAAATGTTTCCGAAATAAAGCCAGACTATTCAATACTAAACAGAAAAAAACATTCACTGACACATGCGAACGTGTTTCGATAATTCTAAGATGGGTGTCAGCTTCGGAGTCGCATGCCTCCCTTATTTCAATCACGGCTCATGATAGATGACTTGCCTACTTTTATTGTATTTATTTTTCAAAAAGGTCTCAAGTCACAAACTTCCAACGTAACAGTACGCTAATTGTAATTACAACCAGAACTGGTTTGCTATTATGAACGATTAAGAAAAACTGTGTTTATATAGAACATTAAAAAAATATTTTTTTGTTTAGAGGATTACTTGAAATATGGTTTTAATATTAATTTACTCACTAAACTACGTAGTGGAACATTAAAACTGAATAAAGAAGTTGGTCGTTTTGACAATATTTCAAGATAATACCGTATATGTATATGTTGTAATATGAATTGTATAGAAAATGAGTATTTTGTATTAGTATGTCCTGCCTTTAGATCTTTGTGGCTACAGTTTTTACCTAAATACTATTGTACAAATAATTGATAGCATGTATTTCTTTTGCAAGCTAGCTCAAAGATTTTAACCAAAATCTTGTGTAAATTTCTAAATGCGGCATGGAAGTTAAGATTACAAATTATAATTGCATAACAGTTGTAGTTCTGTGCTTGCTATGACTTTATTGTGTTGTTCTCTGTTTACTGTCATTATGTCATTATATATCATGTTATTTTGCTATAGCATTATGTTTGCTTCTGCAATAAAATATTCATTCATTCATTCATTTTTTGAATCAGTGGGTGTTGTTGGTTGTTTTAAGCATCAATCAGACCTTTAGCTGTTTCACATTTTGGCATGACGGTCCTTTTATAGCTTTCTATACTGTATGACATTTGCTCATTGTTTAAGGCCGTACAGTGTCCCCTGATTGTTTACAGCCTCGTCGATTGGCCTCTGGTGGACAGTTGCCTCATTGGCAATCATACCATGTCTCCTCATATTCTTATAAGATTAAAAGCTATATTGTAAATCTTCCATATGATGTAATAAAAGCAAATTGTGTTCTATTTGTTTGAGCAATAGGCTTCCAAAAGAATAAAGTCGTTTGTGTGTGTGTATCGTGATGATCACATTTGTAATTTTTACAATAAATGTTATATTGAGATGAAGCAATTATCTGATTGAAGGTATTTTTTTTCCTAACAATGTTTTAATAAATTCAAATGCATTAAAATATTGTGATTGTTTGCTTTCCTCTTTAAAATGTATGACCGTAATCAAAAAGGTTAGCTTTCCTTTGTAAAATGTTACTGTCAGTAATGAAATAGTGTTGCCTTCATCTGCAAAAGTGTATTGTACTGTCAATAATCGAATAGGTCTATCTTCCTCTGTAACTACAGTTTTTCTAGTATATATATTGAAAAGTTATAAAATTTGTCCATGTTGTGCATAAAATAGGGAAAAAATAAGACTGAAATTGCACGGAATATTTATATTCAATATGAATAATCACATTTTGTCTATTAAGACATCAAATTGTTTTAAAATGTTCTCCATAATTTCGTACTTTATTTGGCCTTTTTAACTTTATTTTATTCGAGCGTCACTGATGAGTCTTTTGCAGACGAAATGCGCGTCTGGCGTAAATACAAAATTTCAATCCTGGTATCTATGATGAGTTTATTTCCTACCGGTTTCTTATTTTATCCATTTAATTTTGAACGGTATTTCTTAATGAAATAATTTTCTTTATTAATTAGGTCTTTCCACTTTTCTGTGGAAAGACCTATTGTATTTGTTCTGATTATTATTATTTTTTTCTTCCGCCAATCTTTGTTCTTGCGATAAATTTTTGTTTCGCAATATGTCGCTTTGATATTTCTTATGTTGTATGGTACAGTGTATGTGCTTATACATTTCACCCTGCTAAGCCGAACAATTTCCTTAGTAAGAGTTATCTCCCAATTCACTGTTTATCAACTGTATGCATCTCCTTCGTAACACAAACAGGTAACGACAAAATTCTTTTTCTAAATTGTTTGTTACATCCTCAGGAATTTTTGGCTAATTTGGATTGAAGCGATCCAGTGAGATCTTATAGGAGTTATCTGCCTTTACCAAATAAATTTGTCGTTTTGTTTTTGTAATTCATAAACCGTAAGCCGTATAAAAAAAATTGACCAAAATGTTAGTCGCGACATGATATATAACTGGAAAGTTTTTGTCGAAATGGCACGTGTCATTGTTTTACGAGTTCCATGCAACTGAAACGATAAAATGAACAAAATTAACCAATTATAGCCTCATACTTTGCAGCTAGCATGATGTATACATGCATCTTATCTTTATTAATCAACCAAGGTCCACCATCCTCCACACAGCCGCCCCCCCCCCTTTTTGGTTTTTTTTTTTGTTTTTTTTTGGAGGAATCCCATTTCGCCTTGAAGTTCAGTCCTGTACATTTTACTGTAAAAATGCAATCCATCTTATGTACGAACTTCTTAAATAGAAATTCATCCCTGCAAAAATCTGCTCCAATTCATGTATTTTCTGAAATTAATCGATAAACGTTTGGTTAACAGCATTACTTTTGCCGTTACTAAGGCGCGGTCCGCTTGATTGGGAAATTAAATTCAATGACGTAGAAATGGCTCCCAAGTTCGAAAATATTACTGAAATCCTACAATCAAATTTCTAAACATGGATTAAAATACAAATGTATGCTCCAGTAAACATGTGTACGTAAAATGCATGCATGATCGGACATCAAGGACCTGTAAATAATAAAACCAATAGTGATCGTGTTACTCTGATCAATACACATGTGCTCTGTTCAACGGTCTCCCTTGAAAAGATATTAATATTCTCCAGACATATATATTCGAGGGTCACGTGATTTCACAACACCATCTCGCGCGCGGACCTAAATTTAGAATAAAACATTTCATATCCAAATAAGGAAAATGAAACTTCCAAGATAAAATTTACTCCGTTTTCCTACAAATTCAAACAAAATGCATACACAACAAATACTTAGTAGATGAAAAATGGAAGTCCGAGGTAACATAGAAACTAGAGAAAATTTATAAACGAATGATGCTAGGATAAATTTATATGAGGACATCTCAGGCGTCCGTTTGGCTGTGCGGGATGTATAAGTACGCAGTCACGTTCGGGCAGAATATAGGCGTTATTTAAGTTAGCTGCATCGCACAGAGAAGCTAGGTGTCATGCAATCAACCAATCAATCAATCAATCAATCAATCAATCAATCGACCAACCAACCAACCAACCAACCAACCATTTAATCACTCATGCAGGTGTCTGGTCCATGTGTTTAATAGAGGACGAGTGATCATCTTTTGTTTTTTAGCATGTTCCTACAGTCTAGGTCCAATGTGTTTTTTAAGCAAACCAACCAACCAACCAATCAACTAACCAACCAACCAACAAACCCATCCATCGATCGATCAATCAATCAATTATGTTTTAGAGGGGAAAGACCGCCGCTAACAATTGTTTACAAAACAATTGATTTATATTTCTCATTGGTTCCGTTGTTTTATCTGAACACTGAAAAAATGGGAAAAAAAAGAAATTTGGATGATTTGATCCAGCGCATAAATCAATATGTTCGCTAAGTGGGATTTTTCTTGTACTTGGGACTCGAATTTGCTGTCTATGTACTGTCATTCGTTTTCTAATGGTGTTGCCGGTTTGTCCAATATAATTTTCTTGACAACCACTGCAAGTTATGATATATAAAAGGTTTTCCGATGCACGTGAAAAACTGTTCTTGATTTTAAAAATGTGTCCGGATTTAAAAACGAATTCTGTTCCTTCATATAAGTATAAACAAGATTCACAATTTGGTCGTCCACATTTTAGCTCACATGGCCCAATGGGCCAAGTGAGCTTTTCTCATCAATTGGCGTCCGTCGTCCGTTGTCCGTCGTCGTCGTCGTCCGTCGTCCGTTAACTTTTACAAAAATCTTCTCCTCTGAAACTACTGGGCCAAATTTAACCAAACTTGGCCACAATCATCATTAGGGTATCTAGTTTAAAAAATGTGTCCGATGATCCCGCCTACCAACCAACATGGCCGACATGGTTAAACATAGAACATAGGGGTAAAATGCAGTTTTTTGGCTTATATCTCTGAAACTAAAGCATTTAGAGCAAATTTGACATCGGTAAAAATGTTTATCAGGTTGAGATCTATCTGCCCTCTAATTTTCAGACGAATCAAACAACCTGTTGTTGGGTTGCTGCCCCTGGAAATTTTGCAGTTTTTGGTTATTATCTTAAATATTATCATAGATAGAGATAAACTTTAAACAGCAATAATGGTCAGCAAAGTACGATCTACAAATAAGTCAATAGAACCAAAAATCTTCTCCACTTAATCTACTGGGCCAAATAGAATTAAACTTAGCCACAATTTTTAATAGGGTATCTTGAATGAAAAATGTATCCGATGACCCTGTCATCAAACCAACATGGCCGCCATGGCTAAAAATAGAACATAGTGGTTTACTATAGAAGTCAATAGGGAAAATTGTAAAAAAAAACAATTTCAAATGGTCACAACTTGAAAACTAATTTGAATAATGATAAGGGGTCTTCAGTAACTATTGTAAGACTACAATGGGATGACCTGCTTTTAATTTAACTACTGGGTCAAATTAAACCAATCTTGGCCTCAATCATTATTAGGGTATCTAATACTATTAATAATGATTTTAACCTAATTTTACATGATTTCGAAAACAACAGTAGATACAGGTGAGCGACACAGGCTCTTGTGAGCCTCTAGTTATAAGTCATAGAATTGATGATTTAGTCATAGTAGAATTAAGATGAAGTTATATTTAAAGTAGTGATAAATTTAAAGTCAAACAAATTCAACTTGAGAGAGGCAGACGGAAAAATTAAGACGATCACTTTGATATGAACAAGCAGATCATATTGAATTGAGCATGCAATAGGTAGATAATAAACATGTCTAACCATCTTTAAAAGTGTTAAAAAACTAAGTTATTTGATCACAGGACTAAGGTGCAGATGCATTGTCAACTTTCTGGTCAAATTTCGACTCATTGAAATTTGACTGAAAAGGAGTAAATTTATATAAATCACAGTATTTCAATGGCAGGACTACAGAAATATTAAGAGAGAGTCAACCCAGTTTTATGATGAGCAGATGCGACTTTATATTTGCCAAGAAGAAATTAAACACAGTGACTATTTAAAGTCAAGTAGCTAAGGCGAACACCAATTTTAATTGATAACTTTTTCATTAAGAATATTGATCATGAATATTTCAGATTCTTGTAAAGGAATCATAGTTTGATATTCTCTTGTTACTAGGCATTTTGGAAAATTTAATTCAATGCCAAATTTTATTATTGTTGTGTTTTGGGTAGATGTGTAATTCACATTTACATGTACTTCATACTTCCCTTTAATTCATATATTTAATGTCTTAAATGTTACAGATTTGCAGATTTTGTTGGCACAGAATTAGGACAGATGAAAATGGTCTGTGTTCATCTTGCAGAAAGGTAAAATTAGAGTAGTAAACCTGTCTTAATATCTCAAGAACATCTAAAACTGCATTTATAACAACAAATTCTGTCCCATAAGTGACCTATTTCTGAGATTGGTTTGATATCTGACATGTTTGACATGCTTCTGATATTCCTAGAATGTAAAAAGAAAAGAGTAAGATCTGTACCTACTAAATAAGAATGTAACGTATTTACAGGACATAGGTCAGA